ATACATGCTGGACATAAGATGTGTCCTTGTGACAAATGTGAGAAAGTGTTTCCTTCTATATCCAAACTACAAAGACACTATTTAATTCATACTGGACAGAGGCCTTTTGGCTGTAATGTTTGTGGGAAATCTTTTAGACAGTCAGCTCACTTAAAAAGACATAAATTAACTCATATTGATAAGATTCCTTATAGAAGGTCTCTTTGCCAAGTAGAATTTGAAAATCTGAACAAACTTTTCATTCATCCAGGCGATAATGTTAATTCCCAACAATGTCAGCCTCTTGGTTTTCAAAAATATGAGATGTCAGAACCAGATCAAATATCAGAAATAAAAGTTAAGGCAGAATCAGAGGATTTCATTCTCGGTACCCCCTTTAGGAACAGGCAGCCCTATCTCTCCAGTGCCCTTCTGGAATCAGAGCAGAGCCATCACAGTCATTGTTGTAGTTATCCAGGGCGTACTGAGAGGAATGATGGCCTTCTTTACCAATGCAGTGTGTGTTCTAAAAGTTTTAGATCTCCGTCTAAACTGGAAAGACACTATCTAATTCATGCAGGGCAGAAGCCATTTGAATGCTCAGTTTGTGGCAAAACATTCAGACAGGCTCCTCACTGGAAGAGACATCAACTTACTCACTTTAAGGAATGACCACAAGAGAAAGTGGTTGTCTTAAATTCAGTTATATAACTGACAGAACCACTAACACCTTTGTATCTCTCTGGTGATCTTGTTCCTAAAGCCTGTAAAATGTATTTATCAAAAGGCCTGCGTTAGGTTGAGTGATTTCGTAGGCAGTTGCTTGTCCTGCATAGTAGGAGGTAAGATACATAGAAAATCACTATGTTTTAGGAACAGCCAAGTTAATTCTTAAAGGGAAGAACATGATTTGATGCCATAAAGTAAACATTTATTTTATTTAAATATATTCTTTGGCCGTATTGAAAATGTTATAAATCCATGATGTGTTACAAATAATTCTGTCTCATTCGTTAAAAGGAATTATTCCTTAAGACATGCCATCTCCTTTTAGATAGACTCAAAAGACTGAGAGGCAAAAATTGGTTTTTAGCTGCAGCAATAACCCTACTGTATTTCATTTATTTTACATTTCACATGAAAGCGTAATTTTGTCCACCTACGGCTCAAATTCCATTGCAGAATTTTTTCTAATTTACAAAGTACAAAGGCAATAAAAATGAAAATGGATGAGAAAATTATCTCATCCATTTTCATTGGTCTTTTCCAAGCTATTCTTAGGACTGTGTGGTAGCATCACCTCCTTTTCCACAGGTGATTAGAATTGTTTTTTGCCCAGCCTGCTGTTGTCTTTCCCAAAAGAATTTAAAAGTAGGGGAGAGGCTGGGATGCACCTCTATACATTTACCATGTTTACGTATGAGGAATATTGTCCAAGTGCCGTAATCTTTTTGATGATATGTATGCAGTGTTATCTTCTCAGAGAAATAAATGCAGTTCATCTATTTGCATATTAATGATTGACAGCTGTAGTTGTAGTCTTAAGACTCACCTATAGATCTGATTTCCACAAGACTTTTACATTTACTTTAGTAAAATTTTCTTTTAATGCCTCTTTACTTGAGTGGTCGTACGACAATATCTTTTGAGTTTGATCAAATGGCAATGACTGAGTCTAGTTCTAATTTTTATTCCTGTGTTTTTTGCAGGACTCTAATGCTACAGAATGTTATTTGATCCTTTGTAAATTGTTATTTTAATTAACAAGGTAATTATTCCTGTATAGGAATAAAATGCTTATAGAATTGAGGGTATCGTTCTTCTAAACAGTACTGTCATGATTTGGGAAATATTTAATCTTAAAGTATAGAAGACTTACAATCATAAATTGTCCTTCATATTTGCCATTTTTTATAAAATCTTTAATAATGACATTTCCTAACAATAAAAGAAAATAACCATTATCTTTCTAAGGTGAAAAGAACAGGTGGATATTTATGTTAGCACACTTAAATCTAGTGACAAGCCGTCTACTGAGAATGGATAAATGAACCATTGTGAGTTTTGCATCGTACTCTAAGAACTACCTTTGGGGGGCCTGGGGGAGGGGCGTGGAGAGGGGAGGTTGGTCTGCTTCTTTTACAAGTGAATTTTGAGAAACTTGAGTTTAATTTACAGAGATGAAACATAACAGTATAGATAAAATTCCCATGATGTACAAATGTGCAGAAGAATCATGTTTTAAAGATAATTTCTCTTAGATTTCCTTGAGATATGTTCCTCCAGTGCAAGCAAGATGATGGTTTAGAGTTTGCTTTACACAAAACTTTTCAAGAACACACCTATTACATAAAAGCAAGGAATAACTAGTTCATATTTTCCAGAATAAAGGTTCAAGGGTTTTTTCCTTAATATGTCTGAAATTATGTTTTTGAGGATTTTCCTAAGCTATTTATGTAATTTTATTTGAAGTAAATGTCTCATATACTCTCTTTCCAAACCAAATAGGGAGAGTCCTCACAGTGTTGTGCTTGTATGATGAATAGACTTCATTTGCCTAAGTAATACTACTAGACTTTGTTTTTGACCCATGCCTTTTAAAACTGTTTCATATTGAAAGTTGGAATATTGTAAAAATTTTGTCAAAGATGTACTGTAGTGCTATTTGAAGTACCTGTAACAAAATACTTATTTACCTTTATTATCACTGCAAGCTGCTTGTGGAAACTTTATAGGAATGAAAATAAACTGTATACATCCATTGTAAGAAGAGTAAACATTAGACGTTAAGAGATGATTTGCTGCATGCTAGAACTGTTAGTATTGTCAAATCAATTACTTTGGTTTTCTGAAAAAATAAACTTTATAAATATCTTCAAAGAGAATTAGAAGAATTTTTTGTTTGGGTGATCCTAGGCTTTTGCATGGTTGTTTACTGAAGTAGTTTGGCTGAGTTAGTGGGATTGTTGTTTCTTGTTGTGTACTGCAGTAGGGCCTACGATTTTAGGACACAATGTGTGTGTGTTGAAGGAAAGTAGATGGTGGTTAAGATTCTTGAAAAATCCTAATTTCGGATTATTTTTAAAATAAAGTTTCAAATTACACAGTTTGGACTTCTTTTTTTAAGGAAAAATCACATAATACTGGAAAAATGTACTGATTGCCAAACACTTTCCTGGACCCACTCCAATCCACCTTGTACACTGAACTTCCTGACATGGATATTTAATCATTTACTTCCTTGTTTATTACATTCCTTTGAGAGCTCCCTAACACCTACAAAAGAATATGTTAACTCCATTGCAGGTCACATGATCTACCTGCCTACCCATTTATCCTTCTCTTTGGGCTTCCTCTCCAGATATGTACCTAGGAAATATAGAATCACTTCCTTCTATGCGTATTCTTGTTTTTCTTGCCTCCATCTTGTCTACCTAGTATTAATTTAAATTAATTTAAATATCCTTACATCCTCAAATGTATAGTGAACGTAGGAAGGAAGAAATGAACATTATTACAAACTGTTACATTCTCTTTAAAACTATAACTTCACTTAGAGCATTTCATTTACTCTTGGAACGCGTTTGTCTTCTGATGTGTTGAGATCAAAGCCAATTAACGTGTACTCTCCAAATTTCCCTCCTCTTCAAAAAATAGCTCTTCATCTTTACTCCCTCCTTTTCTCACTATATATCTCAGAATAATGATGTTCCTCCACCTTTCTGAAGCTGTCTTTTCCTTGCTCTCTTTTTCTGGGAAGTTCATCAGTAATCCCTTCTTTTTTCTGGTATCTTTCATTTTTCGCTCTCCATTGGTTCCTTTCCCTTTGCCTAAATTCTGTGTGTTCCCTATTCAGTTAGAACGGTTTCGACTGAAAGTGACAGAACACCTGACTCAAACTACTTTAGCAATGGAGACCCTTCTTGGCTTACATGACTTGAAGCGCAGCGACTAGAGAAGCTATAGAGTTGTTGAATCGTATAGATGAATCGACTGATTGCTTGCATCTGCTCTGCCTTTCACAATGACAAGACTATTTCCCTTTTGGTTTGAGGATGTCTTGTTTGCAATCGCAACTGCATTCTTCCTTTACGTGGGTAGGGAGTGAGTGAGAGGCCAGAAACTCCCACGAAAGCAGGGAACAACTTTCCCAGAAGCCTACAGCAAACCTTACCTGTCTCACCTGCCAGAATTGCTTCACAGGCACATTCCTGAACCAACCACTGATGACAGAGAATTACTTGGAGCTGGAGCTGGGGCTTAGCTTCCTTCTTTCAGGCACAAGGTTGCCAGAAGATGATATGGATACTGGTCAAATTTGAAGTTGTGTTTGGAAAGAAGGGAAGAATAGATAGGTAATCAACTATTTCCACTGCATCTAGCTTAAAAAGAGATAGAGGTTAGTTTTACCTGTTATTCTGGTTACTATTATATTTTTCTCTGCCTTCAATGGTCAGAGTTGTTGAAAATTCGTTCTGTACCTACTTCCTCCATTGCCTCTTCACTCACTGACTTCTTAGCCCTTTTTTACCTAGTGTTTTCCTCACCACCTCTTGGGAGCTGCTCTATCAAGGATCATAGTGGGCATTGTTAGTTGCAACCATATCTTCTATCTTTCACTGTATCACCCAGGTAGTTTGGGTAGGAGTGACCTTAATTACAGCTCGAGCAATGGGTCATGATCTGTCGAAGTCTATCAGAACATTCGTATCTCCCTTTGCATCATGACTGTTCACGGATGGGTAACCCAAGTCTAAGCCAGTCAATGCACAGCGTTACCTTGCCCAGAGTAATTAGTTTGGGAGGGAGCACTGACCTAAGTTGATCTGATCACAGTGAAAGCTTGTACTTATTTCAGTGATTGAGGAAGGAGGAGTGAGTGTAGAGAATCTTTCTTCATTTTGATAGCATAAGGGATGCTAGTCTGGTGATGAAAAAACAGAGCAGCGTGGGGCGGGAAGGTAGAGGGAGCAGAGCTTAAAGAATCAGAGAAGTAGAGCCAATCTCTAGTCTTTTATATATACTTATAGATTTCCTTTATTTTAAAGCCAATTTGAATTAAATTTTCTTTTTCTTGCAAGAAAAAATCTCAACTAATAATGGTCACCAATAATCTCCTAATTGCCAAACCCAGGGACTTTTTGAAGTTCTTGTCCTGTTAGATTTCTTTGAAGCATTTGGCACTGTTGACAGTCTTGGCTTTTGAAACTCTTCTTTCTTGATGACCTGGTTCTTTTGCTTGCTCCCTTCCTTATTTGCAAAACACATTATAGGAAGCTTGCAAAATAAACGAAAAATCATAAAATACACATAAGTTTAGAATGTCCAAACTCAACAGTCAAAAACTTGGCTCACAGAAGTGATAGGAAAAGAAGAGAGAGCAAGAGAAAAGAGAGGGAGAGCTTGAGAGAGAAAAAGAAAGATATTATGATACTGTGTTTTGTTATAAATCCACTAGGTGTTATAATTAGAACCTTTCACACAGTTAAATCACTAGAAAGCTACCTATGATCTCAAGCTTATTAGCTTAAATATACTTTTGACCACAAAATCATAAGCTAAGTTATGAATTTAATAAATATGTAAATTGGCAAATAAACTGCTCATCACCACCTGAATCTTGTTCTGTGCCTCAAACTGTGTCTGTAATGGAAACATCTTTCCTTTTAAGAGCTACTCTGCTCTTTGTCTTCTCTATTGTGCTTTATGGTCCGACTATTCTTTAAATTACTTAGGATGAATTTCTCTTTATTTTATCTTTTCAGTGTCTTCCATGTTTATTCCTTCCTCTTCGTTTTTATTGCCAGAACCCGAATTTAGGCCTTTATACTTCTGCCTTAGGTTTGCAATGGCCTCCCACCTGGTATTTTCATCCCCATGTTACCTACTTCAACCCGTCTAACATACTACTGAAAAGTATCTTCCAATAGTAGATTTCCAACCAATGGTTTCCCATGGCCTTCCACAATAAATACTACATCCTTTCCCTAACTTTCGAGGCTTTTGACATGTTAAGCCTTTCAAGGCTTTTGACATGTTATGCCTATCGCTCACTCATAACATTCTGCCAGCATGACCTACTTCTGTGCTGTGCTGTGACTATACTAGAAATATTGTCCCTGCTGTTTTTGCTTGTCAAAATCTTATCTACCTTTGAAGACTCATCGTAAAAGCTATTCAGAAAATCTTATTCTGCCTCTTGTTTTATAGACTATATTTTTAAATAAAATGCCACTAGACATTATGATGTATTCCAAAACTGTTGCATTTAAAATTGTGATCATGCAAATTTTCATCTCGATCTCTACACACAAACTTTATACAATAGGGTGCAGAAGGAAGAAAAGGACACCACATTTAATTTCCATATCTATGGTCCACTTTTTTGTTTTTTTCACAACTTTATTTTCAAACAAGTTATAGATGTTAACAAAATTTAAAAGCTACCAAAGGACATAAAATGTGAAATAAACTTTCCCTCACTCCTACTCTCCTGTCCCCCAGTTCCTCTTCCCTGGAGGTGACGGTGTTACCAATTTCTTGCCTGTGATCAGCCCGAAAGTTTACTAGGGAGACATATTTAATTTATGAAAGGATTTGGGAATAGTAGAGGTGTGCATTCTAATTCAGTAATAAAAAGATAAGCAGCCTAATTTTAAAATGAGCAAAAAATCTGAACAGAGGCTTCCCCAAAGATGATATATGGATGGAAAATAAGGACATGAACAGATGCTCAACATCATTAGTCATTAGGGAAATACAAATTACATCCACAATAAGATATACCACATAACTATTAAAATGGCTAAAATTAAAAAGACTGACCATACTAAGTGTTGGTGAGGAAGAGAAGGAACTTGAACTCTCCACTGCTACTGGTGTAAATGCAAAACGGTACAACTATCTTGGAAAACTGGCGGTTTCCTAAAAGTTAAACAATTACCTATCATATGACCCATCCCTTCCACTCCTAGGTATTTACTTAAGAGAAAGGGAAATATATGTCTACATTAAGACACTGTAGGGGCATTAGCCGGCGTGCCCTTTTAATGGCCATGTGTCCTTGAGACTTGTTATCTGGGCTATGTGCCAACATTCACGATGATAGCAGTCCTGGGCTTGGTCGACTCAGCTGCTTTCTCGTGGGATAATTGGCACAAACACCCTCAAGGTCCGGGTGGGCGGGGGGGGGGGGGGGGCTCTGGTCCTTGGAGTACAGGTCATACAGGGATGATCCCCCTTGGTAAGCACATAGCGTTTGTTCCTCTGCCTACTTAAGCAAGCTTCTCTCAGGGGATGATAGCAGGTGCGCATTGCTGTCTGGCCAGCTGCCACTGGACCTTCCCTGTAAGTAACTCCCAATAAACCCCTATGTCTTATTCGCTGTCTCCTGGACTTTTCTTTGGTCTCTTCTTTGGTCTCTCAGCAACCTGTCCCACACTGCTCGCCCAGCTGGGCGTGTGGCAGAACATATACATACACAAATGGTCATAGCAGCTTTATTTATAACAGACAAAAGCTGGAAACAATCCAAATGTTCATCCACAGATGACTAGATTAATAAACTGTGGTATATCTGTCAAATAGAATACTACTCAGCAATAAAAAAGAGTGAATTACTAATACGTGCATCAACATGGATGAATCTCAAAATCATGTCGAGTGAAAGAAGAAAAAAAAGCACACCCTGTACTATTTCGTCTATATAAAATTCTATAAAAGGTAAAGTAATCTATACATCTACAGTGTCAGAAAGCAGATCTGTGATTGCCTGAGAATGGGTGGTAGGAGTGGCGATGGGGATGGCTTGCAAAAGAACACCAGGAAACTTTTAGTTGAATATGCTTATTATCACGATTTGGGCGATGGTTTCACGGACGTATGATTACGTGAAAACGGATTAAATTTTATACTCTAAATATGTGCTGTTCGTTGTACATCAACATACCTCTATGAATCTGTTAACAAAAGTTAAAACCAAGTCCTGCATTCCCAGTCTATGGGGTTTTTTGTGTACTACTGCTTTTTTTGGGATTGAAAGAAACTCCAAAGCTCCCGCTCCCCCTCACCCTACCACGAGAAACCATCAACCAACGCCATCTACTTGTCCCCTCACTGAGAGCCCGGCCAGGCCTGCTGGGTGTCTTCTTCCACATGCCCGCTAGGGGGCGCGTGCGAGGGAGGTCGAAGCCCTTGCCTCTCTAGCTCAGACCCACGCTTGCATGGACTTCCGGCCTATTTCCGTTCCGCTTCCGGGGAAATGTACGGGCTGCGGGGCGCATTCCTTGTGTGATTGTGAGAGCTAGGGGTATCCGGCCGGCGGGTTTTTGCGTTGGGGGGCGGGGGGTTGGAAAGCCACAGCCCCGTCTTAGGCGTGTGCGTCGGGTTCGCAGCTGGTTGGAGCGGTCCTTTCTTCGCCACTGGGGCGGAGGGAGAGTGCTGCCATGGCGACCCCTGCTCAGCCCAAGAAAATCGTGGCCCCTACGGTGTCCCAGATCAACGCGGAGTTCGTGACCCAGGTACGCTCGGGCGAGGCTGGTATGTGTGAAGGGATGAAGACGTCAGGGCCTCGAGGCCTGGGGGTGGGAGTTTTCTTGGGACTGAGAGCACCCGGGAGGCACATTCGGTGGTCAGTGCGTTCACTCACGTCTTTCTACTGAATTTCTGCTATGTGTCGGCCACTGTGCTGGGGGATACCAGGCCGCTGCCTGAGGAGTTCACGTTCCAGGGAAGGCGGACCCATGGAAAGGAAGCTCCTATGCGAGCTGTACTGCCTTAGAGCCTGTCGCAGGAGCGATGGCTTCACAGAGGGAACACGCAGTCTACCTGAGACTGGCTAGGAGGTTTCCTGGCAGAGGTGATGCTGAACTGACGGTTGAGGGAGGAATGGCTCTTTCTTAGCCATAGAGGGAGGTAGGCTTTTGAGCGATGTGGCGGGAATCTGGCAAGACCCCTGCACCAAGGCGATGCATCTATGAAGAGAGCCATCCTGTCTTCAGAGAGCGTTCGTTTACAACCCGTTTACTCTGTGGCACTGAACCGCGGTCGGCTTTGCATAGGACAGCGCAGACCTGTAGCCCTCAGCAACATTTCTAGTCTTTACTCGATGCTTTGGGAATTGGATAAGAGTGCGAGTAGCTCACTGCAGAAGTCGTTATCCCACCTGCTGCTGCTTTGTTCCTTGTCTTAGCGGATTTGCCAAGGCAGAAGCCTGAGAGGCATTTTGAGTCCTCCGTTCCCTGTAACCCCCACATTTCTACATTCTAAATATCTCTTAAATCTGTCTGCTTCTCTGCACTTCTATACCCCAAGCCAGGTTGCCATCGTTTGCCACCTGGACCTAGGCATCCTAACCTATCGTCTTGTCTTTCCTCTTGCTCTCCTCCAGTCCATCCTTCCTGTTGCTGTCAGGGTGATTTTACACAAATGCAAAAATCTGATCGTAACACTTACCTTCTTAAAATCTTTGAAGAGCTCTATTGCCCTTAGGATAATGACCAGAATCCTGAAGAGTCTTGTGTGATCTGGCCTGTGCTTGTTTCCAGTTTCCTCTCTCTTTCCAACTCTGTGCTTTAACCATACTAAACTGCATTTACTGGGATGTGCCACCCTATCTGTCACCTCCTGACCTTTCACCATTGTTCTCTCTGCTTGGAATCTTCACTTTTCCCACCTTCCTTTATGTGGTTAATTCATTGTCATCCATTTACATTACTTTGGGGAGGCTTTTCCTGGCAGGTTAAACTACATTAGATCTCCCCTTTCCCATATACCCGCGTTTTTGTGGTAAAAGTATTTCTTAGTGTTCTACTCTCATGGAGCCTGCATTTTAGAGGGATGAGTCAGACAAATGAACAGTATAGTTTCAAATGGTGATAAGTGCTGTCAGGAAAATGAAACAAGGTGTTGTGTCGGTGACTGGGGTGGGGTATATGAGAGGCAGTCAGCAAAGTCCTCCTGAGGTGACATTTGAGCTGAGACCTGAATGCAAAAAAAGAGCCAGTTTTGGGAAGAGCAGGGAAACATCCGGGGAATAGCAAGTGCAAATGCCTCACGGTGTGGATATAAAGAAGGCCAGGGTAGCGAACATCAAAAGAGGGAGAATGGTATGAGAGGAGGATGGAGAGTATGGAGGGGGACCAGGTCATAGACAGTTTTGGAGGCTGAGGTAAGAAGTTTAGATTTTATTCTAAATACAGTCGATTTTAATTGTGGTTCTTTGAATAATATTTTAGAAAGATCACTCTGGCTAATGTGTGGAAATTGGATGGGGATGGGAGAAGAGAAGTATAGGGTTACCAGTTAGTCCAGGTAAGAGATGATGGTGACCTCTACTATTAAAGATTGTGGTTGACTGATATTTTCTAAAGCTAGAAGCGGTGGGACTTGATGCTTGATTGTGGAGGGATGGAGGAAGAGACAAACTGAGCATAGCTTGAACAACTGAGTGAATGATTGGGACAGTTACTGAGATAGGGAAGACTGGGAAAGAAGAGGATTTAGTGGGGAATATCAAGGGTTCTGGTTGGCCATGTTAAGTGTGAGGTGCCTGGTAGACATTCAGTTGAAAATGTTGAGAAGGCAGTTGAATATGTGAGTCTAAAGCATGTTGGCAAAATCTGGGCTTAAATATAAATTTGGGAGTTAATGACCCAAGATCGTATTTAAAGCTGTAGAATTGACTGAGACGTCTTAGAGAATGTTGTTTATAAACGTTTAACAGTTTATTGTATCCTGTATTAGATTATGAGAGCTGAGGCTAGAGACCATGTCTGTTTTATTCCGCAGGTACTCGCAGCACCTAGCTTTGTATTAGGCTCACATTGTGTGATGAGTATTTGTTCTAAGAATAAATGAGTTAATTAATGAATAAACATACTAGGACATTAAGAGGTAGCGGGGGGAATGAACGTTCTCAGCAGTCGTGGGCCGTGATAGTAAACATTAATGCCTAATATTTGCCAGATACTGTTTTGGGCTCCTCTAGGCTGCAAAGATGAATAAAATGTGATCCCTATCTTCAGGGAGTTCACAGTCTGTGGAAGGAGACTTGAAGAGACTTAAAGAACTCATCATAGTTTAGTGTGATAAATGCCAGAATAGAGACTTGAAGGAAGCGCTTTGAGAACAGAGTTTTGAATGATTACATTTGTCTAAGGAAAGAATCTTCTCATTGAGGAAGTGCCATTTTAGATGGACTTTGAAACATAAATAGGAAGGTAGAGAAATGGATTTTCCAGCTAGAGACATGGTGGACTAAGGTTCTTTTTCTTTTTTTTTAAATTTTGATTTATCAGCACCTGGCACATCTAACCAGAGAAGGTGCCTCTTAATTATTGTTGAATGTATAAGATGTAGAGGTTAAAATTTGGTTTTAAGAACATCAGAGATCTGAACTTTGTGACCTCAGTTTTTTAACGCTGTTTTTTAATTTCCTGTTTGTCTTTTGGTAAGATTTATTTTGAACAATTTATATTGTCATAGCTATGCATAAGTGGATAATGGAAAGAGTTTCTATTTTACATGAGACTAGCGACTGTGGGGGAGGGCAGTATATTCTTGGAGCTGGTAGTGTCTGAGAAGTCACAGGTTAGACCTCAAGGAAAAGGAGAAACTCAGAGAGAAAAAAGAGGCATGATAGATGCTTAATAAATGTTTGCTAGATTTTTAATGAAATAGAGATATATAGTAAGCAATTTGGATCAGAAGATAGGATTTACGTATTTATTTAGAAGTCCCTGAATCCATGAAAACAGATCAGATTCAGTTTTCTTAAGGGTATGATGTAAGGAAAAGACAGCTCAGCTGATTTTGTGTGATGCCCATAGGGAGCAGAATGAGGAAGTGAGGATACTGCAGAATAATCGGGGGTGAAGTGAGTATTTTATGTGTGGTTAGCGAGTGATTGATAATTTGGGAAAGTGTCGTATAAGTGGGCCATTGCTGAAATGTTTTTGAGAGACTTTTCCTCAGGGCCGGTGTCCTCACTGCTTGGGATGCTCTTTAAGTGGGTTGACTGGGATAGGCACTTAGCTATAGAAGCCAAGATTACATAGGTTCCATCTCTTTAGTGTTCCAATTAAGCGGACAGGAAAGGTAGCTAAGCAATTAAGTGATTAATAATCCTGAAAGATAAGATTGTAATAGAGTTATTTACAAAAGGAAGACAAGGAAGAAGCAAATTGTTACCATCAGGTGGGGCTGAGGAAAGCCTCATAGCAGAGGTAACATTTCAGATTGTACTTGATTCATCTGTTCATCTGTGCATCCATGCGTGCATACATCTATCCATCAGCTTTATTTGATGCATACATCTATCCATCAGCTTTATTTGAGTGCCTCCAATATGCCAGACACTGTACAGACTCACCTTTTTTTAAATATATTGAGTCTTTGTGCGCCCACCGGAGTTTGCTATTTTTCAAGAGATTTGTAATTTAGTTTCTTTTAAAAAAAACCTATCAATAAGACCATGTTGTTTCTTGAATGTTATACAGTCCATCTAATTTTCTGGAAACATTGTATATGTGTACAGTCATGTGTCGCTTAATAATGGGCATACATTCTGAGAAATGGATCATTAGGCAATTTCATCATTGTGCACACATCCTAGAGTGTGCTTACACAAACCTAGATGGTATAGCCTACTACACACCTAGTCTTACGGGAGCACTGTCGTATATGTGGTCTGTCATTAACTGAAATGTTGTTATGCAGCACATGACTGAATTTAAAATTCACAATTTCCAGGTGAAACCTAATCTGCAATATACCAACTCTTTTATTCTCTGTAATAACCTGTTTATAGACTACAGTTATTTTAGGTTTGCTTATGTGTGTACTAATCATTTAAAGGTTATTGTTTTACAGATCAACATTCCTGAAGATTTTGAACCTGGTTTTTAATACTGGCTCAACTTTTAACTAATTGTAATCTTGGGCAGTTTATTAATCTTTCTAGACCAGGGTTTCCTTATCAGTATGCTGAAGATGTTTGACGATGTGTATTAACTGGGCCCTGTTGTTTCCCTAAGGGGGATTGGAAAAGTACATTTTGTTTTTTACATCACAGTGGCAGGGTGCACTGCAGGGCATGACTGTCATTTACTGGGTTGGGGCCAAGGATGCTAACTGGCCTGCATGCCCATATAGTCCTCTTGGGAGGTAGAATTAGTCTGTCCTTCAATGCCAGGAGTGTCCTGTTAGGAAGCAGCTTGTCACTGAATGAGCTCAATCTTCCGGCTCTACAATGGTGTGAAACTGTGACTTACCGTCTATATTGTTTACTTTTGCAGTTAGCATGTAAATACTGGGCTCCTCATATCAAGAAAAAATCACCTTTTGATATAAAGGTAAGTGTTTTTGGTTTATATCATGCTTTTTCAATAAGTACGTTCTTTGTATCTCTTTTTTAAGGGCTAATTCAACAAAAGAGCTCCATAATTTTTTAAAAAGTTAGAAATATAGTTTTCTAATTATCATCAAACTAATAATTACTCATGTTAGAAAATTTAGAAAATACAGAAGTTACACATAAGGAACTAAAAATCACTACCCAGAGATAACCTCTACTATCATTTTGTTGTATTAAACTTAAAAAAACAAGTATATAATTTATTTAATCATTTTCCTGTTTACAGATTCTTAGCTTGTTTTTAATTCAATTTATTATTATAAATGACCATGTAATGAATATCTTTGTAAATATACAGAAATTTTTGTATAATTTTTGACAGTTCATTTAGGATAGAATCTATTTCTCTGGTACTTTTTGCTTGAGGAACTGAGATAAAGATCTGTAATAATGGTCAAGAAGTGAGAGTTGTTTAGTGTTGAGGATTAGATGATTAAGGACCAATAATCAATAAGGGAATGGACTTATAGTTCAGTTGAAGCAATTTAGGATAAATGAAAGGAAAAATTCCTAAATCTAGGATTAATTCTCACTGGAATAGGTTCTTTTATTTTTTTTTTAAGATTTTATTTTATTCCTTTTTCTCCCCAAAGTCCCCTGGTACATAGTTGTATATTCTTCGTTGTGGGTCCTTCTAGTTGTGGCATGTGGGATGCTGCCTCAGCGTGGTCTGATGAGCAGTGCCATGTCTGTGCCCAGGAGTCGAACCAACGAAACACTGGGCCGCCTGCAGCAGAGCGCACGAACTTAACCACTTGGCCACGGGGCCAGCCCCTGGAATAGGTTCTTAAAGAGAGGTCTTTAAATAAAATAGAGCTGAAATATTGCATGCCATTTAATAAGAAATGAAGACTGACTTTGTCTGCCATTATAAATTGAATTGTGATGCTTTAGGCATCCTTGGTAAAATTGAACTTAACCCAGAATGTCTTATGTTTTTTGAGCTTAAATGTTTCATTTATAAATATATTTTTGTTTTACCAATAATCCCATTTTATTTATCAGGAAGATACTCATAAACATGGCATATATTAATTACTCTTAATTACCATCAGAGTTGCTTTATCTTACTATATGCTGTTTGTTTATGTTTGTGTTTGTGTATGTTGAACCTGGGGGTTCCTAAGGTTATTTTTCATTAATAACAAAAATGTCTTGATGACACTACTAGGTTGAGTTGAACTTAATTAAAGTTTTTAGAGATTAAATTTATATCCAGATCATTTTGGTTAACACTAGTGATAATTCTAGATAAATCTATGTATGCCTGTTTAGAAGAGTTTTATTATAGGTTGGTATTTAAAGAAGATTATGCCCTTTATTTTATTATTTAATTTGAATTTTGATGAGAAAAGTAATAATAGGAAATTCCCTCTAAATTGAACAAAAGTTGCTTGCCTTGTTGTCTTCCCCCTTCTTCCACCCGCAAACATTTATATGACAAATATAGTTGGAGCAGTTAAAAGACAGTATTGTTACCGTACAATATATTATACCATGTTAAAGCACTTGATAATTTGACAGTAGGATTTTTTTTTACTGCTATTTTCACTAGCACTTCTATTACTTCTGCTACTTCTGATAACTGTTATTAAAGACTCCCCATGTGCCAGGACTTTCACTAAATTCTTTACATGTAGTATCTTATGTGCAGCAACCCCGTGGGGTACTTTGTATTATTGGATCCATTTTGTGGATTGGGAAACGGAGCCTTTGAGCTGTCCTAGGCAAGGGTCCTAGCCGTCAGCAGTGATGGTAGATGGTTTAAACCAGGCTTCCAGCTCTAGAGCCTGAATTCTTAATACACCATCCTGGCCACCCAACTCAAATGATTTGAAATTCTGAGGCTTTATCATATGCATTTGAAAATAGGATGTAACAGTTAGCATTTGCTTCTATTATGTCTTCACACTTTTAATTTACTTTCTGTCTGGCTTTTGAAAGTACACTATTATAACTCCTAAATGGAGTCTGAAAACATTTATACATTTTAAAATTGTCTTAAAAAATATTCTTATTTGTGAATTTTTATTTTCCCTAGGAGTATTATGAGAACATCATTTTAATGATTGTTTTTAGGGCTATTTTTATGTAGATATATTTTATTTATCTTTTTCTAGTACTTTACCTTCTGTTATTTCACGTTTTTAGGAATGTAATGGATTATGAAAAATCTCTTAAGTATTTCTTCAATAGCAGTAATATTTCATACCTATTTTAAACCAACTTATTTTCTGTAGTCTCAGTGATACAAGACTATTAATTTAAGGTCTGAAAAAAGATTGAGATATTAAACATTTTTATGTTTTCGATAACAGGTTATTGAAGATATATATGAGAAAGAAATTGTCAAATCAAGGTAGGAATGAGTTCCGTTTTCCTAAATAGGGATTAGGTGGGACCGAGTTGGATATCACCTGAACTTTTAAACTAAATGTGATCGTAAATTGGGAACTATTTTTCTTTGATTTGGTTATCAGGGAGACTGTGGCTAGAAAAACTTTATCTGCTGAAGAATCATAAGTTATTTCTTTGTTCTCATTTTTGGCTCAGATTAGAGGGATTAAATCACATAGGGTTTATTTTGTTGTTGAAGACATGCGAGGAGGGAGAGTAAACATGGAGATTTTATTTCAATTCAACTAATACTAATTATCTTATCATTTTCTGATAAATCTTAAGCAAAAACTATTTAAAAATTATAAAAGTAAAACATACA